ACATAGTTGCTTAGAGTTGCAGCTGAGAGGCCGGCAACTCAGGCGGGGAACGTTGGAGTCCGCAGTCACTGGAGCAAGCAAGCCTCCCTGTTCGCTTCAGTGCATGGCTGCCGGCCGCCATCTTTGTTGACAGTTAATTTGCATAAGGATATGCTGATTAGCCAATGGGAAGGGTAGCGGTCGTACGCTAATTACCACGTTTCTCTTTTATTAGTGTAGATAATATACTAAAGGCTAGTGCATGGAATTTGTGCACAGGTAGGATCCCTAAGCCTGGCTGGCAATCAGGTTCCCTGCCTCCCCACCTCCTTCCCTTGCTCCCTCAGCACCCCGCTGCCGCTCCGCTGTTCGCCCGCCATGTTCCACACTGCCCCCTGGTGGTCAGCACACATGTCATAGCAAGCGATCAAACTCCCGGTCTCCTGGTCGAACTCACGAGGGGACACTGCATATTAACCTTTTATATATATATATAGACTTGACAAATGGCATAATTTTGTTTTAGAATTTAAACTTCTGGGAATTATCCTAAGAAGATAATTCAATAAATTCATGAGGTTATTCACTGTAGCATTGTTTGTAATAGCAAAAAGAAACTGGAAACAGACTATCAGGCAAGTTATTGGTTTCATTTTGTATACCGCATCCATATATCAGATTACTACATGATCATCAAAAACTATAACGCAGCTGTATGTGTTGAAATAATGTTTCTAAGAGAAAAATGTAGACATATATGCATAAATATACATTCTGAAAGAAGATACAATAAAATAATTATTGTATCTGAGAAATAAGGTAAATATTTTTAATTCTTATCTGTATGTTCTATTTTTCCATAATGATTATAAATTACTGTATAAATTATCCTGTCAGCTTTAACTGATGGTCAACATAAGTAGTCATATAAATATTCTGTGTTCCACTAATTCAATATCCATAGGTTATTGATTTAATAAGCGCAAACACATATATTACATGACTATGTACATACTGAATAGCATTCTAAAACATATACAGAGTGTCCCAAAAAATGTATGCATACTTTAACAGCTGATAGCTCAATTTTGAAAATGAAATATATTTTAATAAAAATGTATGAATACATTTTTGGGGACACCCCCTATTAATGTAAATTAAACTCATTGAATCCTTACAATAACTCTATGAGCTGGGTACTGTTACTATTCCTCTTTTCTGAGGAGGAAACAGGAACACAGAAGATAAGCAAGTACCCAATATCACACAGCTGGTAATTAGTGAAGTTGACATTCAAACCAAGGCAGTTTGGCTATAGTGTTGACACTCTCACCCATCACACCATACTGACTTTCCTGTAAACTCACTAAGCTTTAATTTCTTTTTCTGATGAGTGGGACTAATATTACCTATCTCTATAGGTTTGCTGTTGGTTTTAAATGAAATCATGCATGAACCCTAGCTGGTTTGGCTCATGGATAGAGCATCAGCCCTCAGACTGAAGGGTCCCAGGTTTGATTCTTGTCAAGGCCATGTACCTGGGTTGCAGGCTCGATCCCCGGCCCCCGTAGGGGTGTGTGCGGGATGTTTCTCTCTCTGTATCCCCCCACCTTCCACTCTCTCTAAAAATCAATGAGAAAATATCCTCAGGTGAGGATTAACAACAACAAAAATGAAATTATGCATGAAAAAACTTAGTTAATTGCTGGCACATGATTAGAGTTAATAAGTGCTAGCCATTAATGATAATAAAAATGATAACATTACTAAGACCTCAATGACAACCACCAATTTAACTTCA